ATCAGGAAGTAATATTACCTGCTTTCCAGTAACTGATTACACAAAATTTGCAACTGATTTGAAGTGACAGGATGTTGGCAGAAGGAATTCCAGCACCACCAAGCTCATCACCGTTCTCTCCTTTGAACCTGACGGACACTTGTCCTATAGCATCGTCCTCCATCTGGAATAGAAAAATCATAGAAGACTCTAGGACGCTAATGATTGAGGAAGGGGATCACTTCCCCTTCCCCAGAAAGGCTTAGATTAGAGCGCAGATGACCAGAGTCGCCCAGGGATAGCCCCGACTGGTATATGTATAAACGAAACAACTATTCGCTAAATCAAACGACAGTTTCACGTTTATTCAAGGACAATATGGGTTATTCCAAGGATAAAGAGCAGGCATGGAGGTAGAAAACTCAAGGTTACGAGTCTAAATTCAAGGTTCATCTTCACGAAACAACCAGATAGATCAAGGGATCTCGCACATCAGAAGCTTGCTTATTAAAGGGCGTAATGGACGGATGCAAATTGGTGCTCCAATGAGAAGTAGGACAACTGTTCTTTCAGTTGTACCGCCCCTTTTCACTGATCACCTCATTGAGCGTGGGTTATATAAAGACAGTAGTGTACAGTTAGTGAATGAGCTCAAAAATTACGAAACCATTGCTTTAGCACTAGATTGGTTTCTTATGATTCAGAGTTGACGAATACGTCTGCAATGTGGAAATCGACCAGAGCATCTTCAGCTTTCTATGACTCCACAAACCGGCATACTAACCATTAAGTGAGAATGTTTCTTTACGAAGGAGCCATTTGCTGAAACCAAATATGGGAGCTTGCTCTATGGTCACTAAGCCGAATGTCCAACTATTTCGCTGTGGGGAGTCGCAAACTATCGTCGCTGCAATATTGACCCGCTTATTTATCCATTTCTGACATTCTATACTTCCCAGCTTACGCATCTACAAGCATAGACAGGGCCCACGCATTCTCAAAAGCGGAGAAGACTCGTGAAAAAAAAAAATGTTGCTATGCATCGCAGTCGCGTGTGGTACACAAGGAACAGTTGACCGTATCCAAGTGGGACGGGCGGTTCGATCTTTGACTAATGCGACAATATTTGTATCGTTAACAATTTGTACTTGTTTGCTCAGTGAATATTCTCATTTCTAGTTTTTGGGAAAGGAAAAGACCTGCACTCTCTCTCTCTCTCCTTGAAATTGCGCTCAATTGACGCGCATCTGGTCTGGAACTGTTTTCAAGTTTCCTTATTATATCTAATCAGCCGTCACTTTGAAATTCGTCTGTTCAGGGTAAAAATGGCCACCCACAAGATGAACTTTTTCGAAAAAATGGCGAATATGCTAGGCCATTTATACCGTCATCAGGCCGCCCAATTCCCTCGTCGTTGGGAAATCCTCACAAGCGTGGGGATAATTTCATAACAATTTTATAGTTACAATCTTTTCACTCCACGGTGACATATCGGTGAAGTTTCCTCTTTGTTGTTATTAATTGCATTATAAGCGAAATGCCGTAAGAATTATGCATGCATGCACATTGTATCAATAATGAATTCGCAGACTGCACCGTCAGGATTAAAAAGATTAACCAAGTTAATAAAACGTTTTAAAAAGTGCAGAGGCCAACAGTACACCTAGAAAATCTCCTAGCCTTCACGGCGGGTTTAGCGCACTTTTGTATCAGTAATGTGTATTTTTGGGTGGGTCCCTGCTCGCTGGTATCCGTAACGATATCAGCTCCTTTGCCTTATTACCTTACTTGAATCAGTAGGATCTTTTGTCGAAGCCATAGCGATTGTCCGTACAGAATGGTACGCGGTCCTACAGTAAACACCGTGCCAAGAGTGGAGACGACACTACGCCTCAAACTCCAGCTCCATTTCTACGGAACGAAAGAATTGACGCACATTAATTGAACTGTATATCTTATGTGTAGGCAGTGTTCAGACTTCGCGACGGCAGCGCTTCGATCGCGCGTTCGACGCGATCGACGCGGCTGTCGAAAGCATGTCTATCGATCGTGTCCATCGCGCGACCGAAGCGCTACCGTCGCGAAGCGTGAACGCTGCCGTAGAGGATGTCTGCCTGTTGGGTATGCGACATTTCTACAGCAAAATTAGATGAAAGGATGGAAAGAACAGTCTAGATTTGAAAACACCGTAGTTATACAAGTTCTTTTGGAGCGTTCCGGCGAGCTGGACCGCTATGAAGGCCAAGAAATTCGAATTTCTGATCTTCAACTTGCGACCTTCTAAAACCCGTAAAAGTTATAGATCTTAAAAGTTCTTCCGTTCTTTTTCAATATTGCGCATTTTAGCCACATGAGCATAGAGCTTGATCGGCAGGAGAAGGAGAGGGTGCAGTTTTGTTCACTGCGGTGATGGGGCGTACCAAGGGGTATGAGCATGATGCTGCGCAACCCCGTTTTTCTTTTTTTTCTTTCGGCGAGCGACAACACTGCATTTATTGCTCGTATGGGTTGCTTTCAACCACTTGTTATCGCTTACCCACAAAAAAAAAAGGTGGATTCGGGCGGCTGCGCACCCGCAGTCCCAGCCTCGACTCCCCAATCACTCGCCAGCCTAAACAGATTTTAATTTCATTGCATAAACTCCATAGTTTTTTTTTCACTTTGAATGTGAATAGTTGTGTCATGTATAAAAAGGAAATAAACACGACGATGACCGCGACCCCTGAGCTGTAGTGAAAGTGCCGTAGTCAAGATCATGAAAATAAGTGGTAACTTCACTTGCACATACGAGGTGCTATGGATACCGAAGTATAAATGTTCTTATAAGCTTGAAAGCTATTAGACCTCTGCGAGAGAATCAGTTCAGCTACAGATCGTAAACTCTGGAAGGTCAGTAGCTAGTTTCATCACCTTTCCGTTAAAGTAAGAGGTGAACTCCACTTCTTTTCAATTCAAGCTCCACTTCATCTTTACTTCATCTTCCTGGAGCTATTCACTTCAAATAAGCATTTCTGAGAGACACAATATACTTCAAATAACGCCTTCCTGGACTACGAGTAACTTTATAATATGTTTATATCTTTTGCTTTGCATGACAAGTTTTGTTTCCAGGCTGTTGGTAAACATGAGCTTGCACCACCGAAAACCTCAGATTGGCCAGCTATGTCAAGCCGACGGGAAGAGGTTTACACAGTTCATTCAACAAAACGTACAAGCAAACTAACTGTTCGGGTGGCGTCTCTTTTAGTTTCTTCCTTCGCCTTAAAGACACATAGTACGCTCATACACATTGAGGGTGTATGAGACTATCAGCCCCCCAGATGTCGATGTGTCGTGGTCCCCCCGCCCAAACATGCCCGGGAAGGTGAGATACAAGCTGCCGCTGGAAACACGCTGAATTCTGTGCCATGCTGCCGCCCACTGCCTTTTACGGCGCAGATTCTTCGCCGTTCATCAACATCCGTTGCGCAAGCCGCCGTGTCGCGTGCGGCTCTTTGGCACTTTGCCAAGTCCTTTAATTGCGCTCTCAAATACAAGGAAAACGCAATTTCCTGATGCGGATAACATTGGAGGTGCTACAAAATAAGAGCAGAAGATGATGACAAGGGGCAGAACTCAAGAGCAACTCGGCTGCATCTGCAGTATCCATCAAGGGCCGCGCATTCCACAAAACATGAAAATAAAAACAGCCCAAGCGTCCCACTCGTTTGTTCTAAGTATTTCTATGGCTTTGGCGCCGGATCGTAGAAATTTACAGGCCAGTTTATCTAATTTGCCTTTCCTTGATTTTTTCATTTTTGTTTTGTTTACATTTACATCGTTGTGCTTCATTTCTAGCCTGTGTCATCTTCATCTCCTTGTACATGGATTTCGTATAAGCATGAGCAAACCCATTCTTAATGTTTATTTCGCTTCAGGAAATTGCGTCTTCTTTATTTTGTAGCACCTCCAATGTTATCCGCATCAGGAAATTGCGTTTTACTCGTATTTGAGAGCGCAATTAAAGGACTTGGCAAAGTGCCAAGGAGCCGCACGCGACAGGCGCGCTTGCAACGGATGTTATGAACGGCGGGAATCTGCGCCGTAAAAAGGCAGTGGGCGGAGCATGGAAGAATTAGCGTGTTTCACGGCCCTGTATCTCCATTCCTGGGCATGTTTGGGGGGGGGACCACGACACATCGACATCTGGGGGGCTGATAGTCTCATACACCCTCAATGTGTATGAGCGTACCATGTGTCTTTAACTTAACTATACAGCAATGTGAGCCACTGGTGGCCTCATGCTGGTTTTCATTACTTTTTGGGTTTTTACATTGGTTTTTATAGGTGTGTTTATTTCTTTTTCTATTCACTTGTGACAGGTGGGTGTCCGACACTGTACAATAAATAAAACAAAAAAGAACACACTTTGAAATGGATATTTTAGAGTTGAAAATGGGCAACATTACTCCAGGCCCCTGATCACAATATATTCATTTCGTTTTTTTGAAGTTGATATATTTGACGCTATATCGGCGCTAACGCTTTTCTTGTCAAAGTATGAACTTTTCCTTTCTCACGAAATCCTATATAAACTTGCACACTACGGCTATTTGACATCCTGTTTACGGACACAGCATGTGTTTTATCGGCGGTTCCATTTTCATTGTCCATATACGCCAACTTGGCCCCGCCTAATTCTGGTTCGTCCGACGCGTAGAGCAAAGACACTAGCCTTGCTCAAACAGAAAATCTTTAAAGAGATCGGCGGCGGGGCCTGCGCAAGGTGTGCGGTGCTTCCTGATGCGGCTCCCAAAGTTGAAAAATGCTGAGAATGTTGCAGATACCTAAAAGCTAAAGTGGTGTAGGGATTGATTTGTCGGTGCACATATGCTTGCCGAGGCTGGCTACGCCTGTGGGGACTGGACTTGCGGTGGTGCTTAGTGAGGTCAGAATAGTAGAGAGGGTGCTCCATTTGAGATAGCTTAGTCGGTTTCCGAGGGACAATTCAACAAAGCAGCATTAGCGGTTTTCTAGACATTCACAAAGCAACAAAGTAATCTTTCGATATTGTGAGTCAATGGTAGCTGATAATTGGCACGGAACTGCCGTATTCCCATCCGTGGCTTTCCCGAAAAACGCGACTGTCATCAATGCATTACAATAGAAGATTCTTGGGAATGGTTTTTCATGTTTTCGACTCATTGAAACTACCTTTTTCGTGAGTGCTGTAAGACAGGTCGTAGTGTTAGGAGCAGGGCCGAGAAATAAACTTCATGAGTATCGAAAGAGAATCCCTCTTCTGTATGCTTGTTCCTTGCATACTCACACTTTAGTATTTCGGAGAATTCCACGATCATGCTTCGAGGCCATTTCCAGGAGGCTCTCGTGTACACTGCTGTCGGAATGGAGGTCATTTTCTGGTTCTTTGTTGGTGAAATGATCGGACGTCGGTATATTCCTGGTTATCTGGTGAGTTCATCTCTACCTATCTCTCTAGTTGTTTTCCTGTTCTTTGAAAGTGATGTTGGAAATTTACCACTCGTTCAGGTACCACCTGATTACGTTTCGAAGGAGACACGTAAGAAGGTGAAGGCGCTGGAAAGAGAGGCCAGGGAAAGAGAAAGAGCTCTCCACTGAGCTTAGCTGTAGCTTAGAGTTAACGTATGTATAATTGTTCGCAGTTTGGATAAATTTTCGAGAGCGATTGAATGTCACATATAGTGTTTGGGATGTTCATTATTAGTTTCTTTGTATGTCCGGAAATAATCTGAAGTAAGGCTGTAATGGGTGGGACGTGGCCAGGACGTACGGAACAGAATGAGCTCTGCCAAGCTGCCTACGGTAGGCGGGATGTGCCGTAAACCAGGTGCCTTTCTTTAAGAATTTGTAATTCGGTTCCAGGCGAGCTGGAGAGTAGAAAAAGTGGGAAGGTATAGGAAATCAGTGGACGCATAAAATTAGGGGACACACCCACAGTGGGCAGCGCGTTCTATAAATGGGCGGCGCTCTTGAAAAATTCATAATTTACCTCCAGATGAGCCCTGAAAGAGAAGAAAATGGAAACAATAGAAATGTGGGCGCTCAAATTGAGAAAGATACCCTCCACACTGGGCGGGGCGAACTATAAATGGGCGGCGCTTGTACCTAGTGAACTAATCTTGTCACAATTGATAGCTGGTGATTTTTACAACTGGCTTTTCGATTCATTTATTTCTTTGTACTTGGGCAGTTACACTGATACAGTGGGAGAGCTCCAGATAACAAAATAACATATTATTAACAGTAATAGAGATTAATTCAAAACACGTAGCCTGTATTAAAGTGGTTCAAGATAAAGGAACAGAAATCAAGTTTGAGAACAATAAAACACTGATTTGTAGAGAACGTGATGTCAGGTAAGCTCACGTCGTATCTTTTCGACAAGCATAAACATAAGCATATTCCGTGAAAACAGTCTTTACTGTGTAGAAAAACCCGTATTCAGTATCATAATCTAAGAAAACTTGACAAGAAATTATGTACATTCTAAAAAAATATCTTTGCCTAAATGATGGAGTTGAAAGGAATATTACGACATCGCAAGGGTGTTTGAAAGAGAAATAAGTAGCACACCTTGAATTACAGATGAAACACCTGAGGGAGATTTATCACGTGTTATAACAGATGTGTCAAGGGGATCAGGAAAAATATGAAAGTGCATCAGACTGCAAATCAGCTACAGCAAACTAATTCTCAAGCCTGAGATGTAAGAAGAAGCTCTGACGGGGTTTGGGAGACTAAAACTCACCAAGGGTTTTTTTGAAAAGATAAACCGGGATAGGTTTTCTAGTTATCAAAACCTAAAACTGCGTTTTGTGGTCAGTCTCCTTACAGTAGGATTCTACAATGAATGCATGTCATTGAAGATACTAACCTTACTGTATCTGTTCCACGAAATGCTTCCTAACAATCACTACCTACAATAGTCCAGTTCAAGATATCCTTCACCGCAATTTGAGCATTCCCTGGTTCTCGCACAACTCATGTGCACCCATGCCCCACATTCGTCACATAACATCCAGTCCACCATTGGTCTTCGGACTCCAGAATCATAAACTATAGGTTCCTTTTGTCCGCATATACCGCAGACAGCAGCATGTCCGTCGTTTAGATGACCATTAGCGACAGGAAGAGCTAATTGACATGGTATCCGAGAACTTGTTGCTCTGAGTGCCGTCACACCATTAATCCGTGGAGTTATTGCTAGCTTCGTTGAGTTACTGCTTATTAGCAGCGACAGTTGCTGTTCTGCAACAATTCCCGTAGGATGGAGCTCGTGAAGGTCATTCTGCTCTGCAATCATTGCCATTTTTCAATAAAAACAAAGAGGATATTCCAACCAATGCGTGGACCTAATCAAAAGAAACCTAACCTTTCGCGCCAGCCATAAAGCTGAGCGCCTTTGACAAAATTTCATCAATTTTGCGCAGGCTATGGTATGTTTCCTTTGAACCTTGCGCCTGCAGTTTCGAGCATCCTTCGTTGATCGCGTTCAATTTCTGATAAAAAAGGGTAGAACTGAATGGCGAATGGTCCAAAACTTGAATTACCTTTCTAATAAGGTGACCAACGTCTTGGGAAGCAGTCCAATATAACTGCCTAAGCTCACCATCGCGTTCCTCTGCTGAAGCTTTTACTCTCTCAAGACTGGAATTTCTTACTTCCAAAGAATTGGAAACTGCATCTTCCTCGATTAGTGGGAGAGAACAATCCTGAGACTCTGGAGAACAATCCTGCAAGTCAAGGGAACCGCTCTGAGAGTCAAGAGAACTGTTCTGACACTCCACTTCATGCCCGAAATGTTCGACACAAAATTCCACAGTTGTAATACCAGTTCTCACATCGCTTTTTACCTTAAAATGGGGCACGGTAAACTATGTGACCAAATAAATAGTCATTAACTCTTACATTCATGAACGATGTGCAGCTACGATGTATTATCGGCCTCATGGAAGCTCTTCTTTTACGTGAGATACGTCGTTGGTTTGTTGATCTGAATGACTATCGTCAATCATCTATATCATTTAGCTTCGTATTCGTATACTTCCCCCACAAATCCTATCCGCAGCCTCAACGTGGCGTGGGGGAAACGGTTTGGACTGTTCCAACACCGTACCAATGCGGAGGGTGCCACGTCAGAGCCTGGCGAGCTACGCGTGGTTAAATTTCTTCTCGCCGAAAACAGTAATAATTATGGGCCTCATTCCCCTGAACCTGAGGGAACCACCGACAGGGCGACGTCGGCTGGGACCGCTCGGGCGAGGCTGCAAAAATCACAGGGCCAACGGAGATTTAAGTCGCCCAGGACTAGGATGACGATCTGTACTTTCAACGCACGGACGCTTGCATCGGAAGCTCACATCGAAGATCTGATGTTGCAAGCCAGGAAGATCAAGTACGACGTCATCGGACTGACCGAGACGAGGAGGCATCGCCCGCTACACGCCGTATACGAGACTGGAGAAGAACACGCACCTGGCCATGAACATCGATTCGTACGAAAATCTGACGACCCGAATCGGACGTTTGCGATTGAGAAGATGTGGTTCAACTCCAGCTTTGACAATCTTCGTCGCCTACGCACCAACATCAAGCTACGACGAGGATGAGCTCGAAGCGTTCTATGGAATTGGAGAAGTTCTACAAGGAAGATCATACCTTCTTCAAGGTCATCGTCGGTGATTTCAACGCTAAGATCGGACCAAGAAGAACGGCTGAAGAACTTCACATCGGAACTCACGGAACGGAGTGGAATGAGCAGGGTGAAAGGCTGTCTGAGTTTATCATGTCGACCCATACCATCCATGGTAACTCGCAGTTCCAGAAGCCCTACTCTCTACGCTGGACATGGGAGTCTCCTGGTGGACAATTCCATAACGAGATCGACCATCATCTTCAATCGAAGGTTTTGCCTGACCGATGTCGCTGTTGTTCCTAAGTTCTACACAGGATCCGACCACCGTCTCCTTCGCGCAAGATTCCGCTTTTCGATGCGAGGAGAGAGAGCCGCAAAGTTCAAGAAGCGAAGCCCCAAGACCGTCATCAACTGGGATCACTTCACTTCTCTCGCTGGGCTCTGGGAGGATTCCGTCATCGACAACATCGACGAGGAATACGAACGGCTTGTCGCACATCTTCACGACTGCGCCAAGAAGTCAGAGAGTTCCAAGATTACCAAGAAGCGTCTATCTCTGGAAACTCTCGAGCTGATTCGCCAACGTGGAGCCGCACGAGCCGCAGGCAATTACCAGCTGACGTCTGAGCTTGCGAAGCTATGCAGAGAAGCGATAAAGGAAGACCTCAAGGAGAGAAGAGCAGCAGTACTGGTGGAAGCCGCAGAGGCTGGGAAGAGCATACGCAACGCCCGCCGCGACTTCGCCAACTGTAAGACCAAGATGACCGCCCTCCGACGTCCGGATGGAACAATCACCGCATCCAGAAGGGCAATGGAGAAGGTCATCCACGACTTCTACTCGGATCTCTTTGACAGTCCACCTGCCAACCATACCGCTTGGAGCAGGATGGATATGTCGTTCCTGCAGTTCTCCCTTCCGAAGTCCGACACGCCATCTCGTCGGTGAAGAATCGTACGGCACCCGGTCCCGACAGGATCAGACCCGAACATCTGAAGAATCTTCCGCCAGTTCTCGTCAAAACTCTGGCTCGACTCTTCACGCGCTACCTGTCGGAATGCAAGGTACCCACCTCGTGGAAAACCAGCAAGACTGTGTTGCTGTACAAGAAGGGAGACCTGTACGACATTGGCAATTATCGCCCAATCTGCCTGCTGTCTGTAGTCTACAAACTCTTCACACGAGTCATCCTGAACAGGATTGGCAGAACACTAGACGAAGGACAGCCATGCGAGCAAGCAGGGTTTCGAAGAGGATTCAGCACGATCGATCACATCCACACGGTAACGAAGCTCATCGAAGTATCGCGAGAGTACAAGATGCCGCTATGTTTCATCGACTTGAAGAAAGCCTTCCGTTGAGACAGAAGCGGTTATCGAAGCCCTGGGCAACCAGGGAATTCCTACTCAGTACATCAGGATTCTTCGTGAGCTCTACAGCAACGCAGCCTGAATGGAAAATGCCTCTGGAATTCATGTCACATCCACTAAAAAATCCAAACAGCTGCCACTTCGTAGTGTGGAGTCCACCCATGGGTAGCTACCTGAAGACCAGTACTCTCGATTCGGAAGACCTCCAACATCGAGCAGCTCTGACAACGTCGCCACGGTCTAGGACATCATCTTCACCGCATTCCAGGTCGCCAAGGCGCGGGTGATGGTATGGACCTGAGTACCTGGAATGGAAAGACCGATATTTTGTTCGTGAACCCCGGACTGAAGGTGAGCGCTGGCGATAACATCAAGCAACTCGAGAAGAA